AAAATTTAAATCATCAAAACGTGACCCATGGTGGACTCCCACGGCCTGAAAGGCACCCTTATTGGCCATGTATTGATTTGTGTATTTATTTTGAATCTTTCATATTTTCCAATTTAACACTTTGACATTAGCTTGAATATTACTATCTAAAAACTTGAAAAATTAAAATAGTAAAATTCAAGGTTTTAAATAAACCTGAAATGGTGTGTTTTTATAAGGGATTTGTCTTTTCTGTAGTTGAAAGTTCAAACGGAATAGAGAGTTAAGGTCTCTTACCGATAATAGTCATTAAACGGAGGTCTCTTACCAGTAAGAGTTTATGAAATGCATTGGCCCATTATTTTAACTCTTCGTTTAATTAAATCTTTTCATAAACTCGCAGCAGTAAGAGAACTTCGTTTAATGACTTTTAGCGGTAAGAGATCTCAACTGTCTGGTCCAGTTGAAATTTCAATTGGAGACAAAGGATTCGCTTTCATAAAATCATAAAACACAGATTATCAAAGTCAAATAGAAAAAATCACGATGAAATGTGAAAATAATGTGAAGCCTGATTTTCTCTCATTTTGTACTTTTAATCTGCCGAACCCATCAATTTTAAGAAATAGTGGATTTATAGTTGGTTGAAATTTTCTTAATATATTCAATTGATGATTTGTTGTCAAAACAATCAAACCAACTCGTGCACAACACCTATTTCTCATTGAGGACAAAAGGTTGCACCAATGCAACAAAAAGATTTGTTACTTCCAATCTATTATAGTTTCCATTACATAAAACAAAATCATATTAGCTGTTATGGAACCAACAATTTAAGTTTTGGCATTAATTGGAACATAGTAAAATCAATTTATTGGACTTCAATTATTGACTAATTAAGACTAACATAAATTTATTGGGCTACATTGTACTGCTTGTTATAATGCTGACCTTGGAGTCTAACGTTTAACAATTATGTTATGAATGTTGCAGGTTACATTCCCTGCCTTGGAGACATTGCAAATTAAAAGACTAAAAAAGATAACAGAGATATGGGATAGGAAATTACTTCCATCAGACTC